CAGAAGAGGGACCAGCTCCTCCTAGTCTTAAAGACAGATTCAGCTGGAGCGTACTGGTGTATAGAGCCAGCTCCACAGTTCAGAGGCTGATACAGCTGATGTGAGAGACAGTTTTCAGCCCCAGTCTCTTGCTGTAAAGGTACGGTCTGAGTCAGGAAATGGGATGGAGAATGCTGCTGAAATAGGATATGAGAAGTATGGCCACAGAGAGCAAGGCTCATATAGTTGCCTAGGCAGAAAATTAGCTCAGGCAGTTTAGAAACACGGGGTCAGATGCTGAAGGGCTCAACACCTGCCAACTCATGTTTTGCAAACAGTCTGTACCAGCCCTCCCAGAAAACAGAGGAGCACTCTGGTTTCCAGCAGAGAAAGCAAGGCAAGCTGGGCCAGCAGCATTACTAAAGTTTACAAAGGCCTCCAAAACCTCCCTTCTCAACAGAAGTGTTTTTATTCTTATGGCTGGCTCATTCTGGAGAAGCATTATCCAGAGCAGGGTCAGGAAACAGTTTCCCAACTTTCAGCAGACAGCTACAAGACTGCTATGGGGGGAACACTTCTGCTAAATGATCTGGTGGAAAAGAATGATCTTCATTTGGAAGGTAGAAGCAAAATGCATTGCCATGTAGTAGGATCTAACCAGAGAACCACATCTAGTGGAAGAGCAATACTTCTCCACAGCAGTACTTTCCTGCAGCAAGGCTAACAGGTCCCATGTATAACTGTGTCTTGGAGAATAAATGTTGCCACAACTCCAGAAGGGTGGAGATGGGTAGGGGCTACAAGGTGAAGCTGCAGATCCATGAACAGGCAAAGCACTGTGCCTAGATCCAAAGTCCTCAGCACTCTGACTGATTGGGACTGGCATTTCAGTTTCTACTGCATGTAAACACTGAGTTCAGCTGTAAAGTCTGGTCCTACAGCAAAAATGTTAAGAGGATGCCTACCATGAGCGTAGGGTGAGAAGCAGAGCTGTGACACCCTAGAGCTGAAAGTGTGCTGAGTCCAGGATGTGCAATGCAGAAACCTTGGGACTCTGGTCTCCCTCCCTTTTAGCTTCACAGCCACACTTATGCACTGCATTTTTCTTAATGTTATCTTTTAGCTTTTATGGGTCCTTGTTAGCATTTATATGAAACATTAAAAAATTTCAGTTCAGACACAAGCCTGCTTGCAGCAGAAACCCTCATCTCCACTGTCTGGAGGGCAGATTCATTAGGTTCCTAAAACCAGGGGGTTGTAAAATATTCTCCCTGAAACAAAGCCACTGGTTACCTGCTCTGAACATAGCAAACGTGCCACTTCTGCTCTCTCTCCCCTAGCAGGCCTCCATGCAGCTCCTGTCGACAGCTATGGAAACATTCTCACAGATTACCACTGGAGCTGGAGGAGGGCCTTATATAGAGACTTCTTTGCCTTCCCTTTGCCCTAAGCCCTTCACAGAAGTACTTTATTGTTTTATGACAGTGCAGTAACACTTGACATAAATTTCTAAGCACACCTAACAATGTCAATACTGTGTAAATATCTGCAGTAGAGACCCATAGTTTTACTGTAATTTCACTCCTCTTTTCTTGCTATCACCCAGGGCTAACTCTGTGCTGAACACAACATGCAGTCACTTCATTTTACAAGTAATCCGCCAATTTTATAAACTGCTACAGCTCACATCTCTAAACACTGAAAACTCAGCTCTAGTTCTTTCAAAACTGTAGCTTTCATTGAAGTCAGCAGAAACTTGTATATGCTTAAAGGACCAATTGTGCCATCTGTTAAATCAGAGATGAATGTTCTTCAAAAGTGCAGAGTCCAAGCCAGAACAGGACATTTTGCAATAAGTACACAACAAACAACATCCACCCAAGCAATTGGGTTGCAAGCAATTGCATGCCAATGTCTGATGACAGAATGGTGCTAGGTTCTCAGTTCTTCTACCCTAACCTGGCTCCCACATGGCTGTCCTTGGCTCACAGAAATCAGAAGGATTACTTAACAATGCAAGGCACAATTCAGTGAAGAGACACTGATTACATTTCAAGCTTTCATCACTATACTTCAGGTATGTCACAGATGGGATTAATTTATAACCTTTAATGCTGTGAAAACAATTTAAACTGAACTGTTCCATGCACACTGATTACACCTATTACTTTCTTACGCACTCAGTAACTTGCACTTTCTTACATTTAAACAGTGTTTAGCATTATTAGCAATTCCCTCCTATTCACCTGTAAGCACATCATATTTGTATATTTATATGACAAAGATCTGGGAACTTTCAAGTCAGTCTAAAGTTCAGTCCTTAACACAAACTATTATCTGACTTCTCTTGCTTTCTAGATGAGCCTCATAACTTCATTTTTAATATCTGAGGCTAATGTCTCAGGCTCAATATAGAAAACAGAGAGTTTATAAACTATAAACATTACCAGATTTTAGTATGTTTGCAGCCCCAGTGACAAAGTTTATATTTGTCTATGTTTAAAATGGTTGGAATTTACTCCTACTTGCCTCAGAGAATTTGTCTGGTTTTACTTGTGACACCTGATTATCTGAGATGCTTTTCACCACCTTCTCAGAGTGGTAATATTCAGACCTCTAGATGGAACCACTAGTTCAGAGAGTATTTAGTTAAACAAGAACTATTTAAAAAGACAGTCCAAAGCTATGTACAAACACTCCCAGAATATTTTCATTTGTTCTCAACATGTCCTTTCACTGAAAAGTTACATTGGCCCTCAAACCTGGAAAGGCCTCTGCCTCTGAGGAAAGGAGGAAGCTAGATCCTTTGAGGTTAATCTGTTGCTGCCATTGACATTGTATCATATACATGACAGAAACTTGAAAATCTGAATGAAAAAAGAAGGTGCTTCCTTGAGCCTGGGCACAGTTCTGGACAAGGGGCTTATACTATTTTGATTCAGACACTCTCCTCAAGACTTATTAAATGTCTTTAATTTCCTCGAAGAAGGGCTATATTCTAGTTCTGCCACCTTTCAGAAAACCAGCTCCCTACAAAGAATCAAATACTGTTAAATTTTGCCTAGGAGCTAGAAATGTAACTTTTTAAAACAGAATTGTCCTGACCTTTAAGAGAAGAGCTTGGTTTGGCATTGTCAGATGATATGAACTATAAAATCACGCATGGGACTTGGCTGTATGAGATGATCAATATTCCTAGCTCAACCCATTGCAAAGCATTTAAAGTGCAAAGAGAACATGAAACAACAAAATCCAAAAGGCTGTTAGATCTAAGGGGTTATGAGATTTGTCCATGTTATAACATGCCCAAACATCTAAGTTGATGTGATCACCGTACAACAACCGTCTCACCAGCATGAGGGGTGTCAATCAAGAACAAAATGGTTGGACACTCTGTGAGTGTCAGTTTGTCCCCACACTACTCAGCATCAGAAGAAAATGCTAATTTTGCTTCTATTTTCCACAGGACTTCTAGTGCATGCTCCAATTCACAGTTTGACTGGTATTTTTTGTGGCCTGCTGAGTTGATAAATTAATAGAAAAGACTAATAGAAGGTTAACTGAACTACTCAAAACCTATGGCTTTTGTGGGATGCATGTGCAGGGGTTAAGAATAGGGCTGCCAATGTAAGGTTTTGTTGGCAGAGCTGCACTTCACCGTAGGGCAGAGCTCTCATGTAATGACAACATACAACAGGGAGAAAAATCCCAGCACTTTAGCTCCTGATGAAAACCAAGAGCAACAGTGCTTGAAACCACAGCCCCAAGTTGTCTGTGACAGTTACTGGGATACGTCCTTTCAGTAACTCATTTCAGTGATGGGTTCATACACTGAAGCAGAGCAAAACAGGGAACTGAAGAGGCAAAGAGGAGAAAAACCATGAAAGGAACCAACAACACCCTTCTCCCCCATCCCTCTCCAAGAAAAAAAAAAAATCTGAAAAAAACCAACCAAATTGCTCCTCCCATGGCTCCTAAGACTCCATAATAACAGCTCCGTGTTGATGCTTCCTTTCTAGCATTTCTTACAAAGAAGTGGGGAGGCAAAGTGGCAGTGAAAGCTGCAAAATGTGTAATAATAGGATTTGCTCACCTTGTAAAGCAAATAAGGAGGAAGAGAAGGTCTTGCACATGGTTTTCCTGTGTGTTGTCCTGGTCAAACATTAACCTGTTGCCTGTAGCTAATTCATCAGAGATGTAGTCCAAAGGTGCCTGCAGGAGAAAGGATTGACATTCCTGGTGGACTTCTGTTTCTTCTGAGGAGTGGCAGGAGGGCAGTGAGGGAGGGGATGTGTCCTTCTCTTTGAAAGACAGGAGAGCACGGGACTGGGTGCAAATTTCTCTGGGGGCCCTCACACAGGGTACTTAGGTCTGTGAGTTCTACCACAGCTCAACACCAAATTCACAGCCCTGGAAAGTAGCTGAAGCTTCTTACCTGGGGCACTGGGAGAAGCAGCCACCAAGAACAGCAATTACACCTGCTCCTCCATCCATCAGATGGAAAGCTGTCTAAGCAGGAAAGTGCTTACACAATAGGCAACATCCTGTTCTCCCAGCCTTTCAAGAGGCCCAGCAGCAAGCTTGGAAGCATCTCTCTTACTTATGGTCCAAGACTTTTTAACCTGGAGTTTGCAGGAAGAGGCCCACAAGGCAGCCATGTAGTGGAGAGCAGCGTCCCCATAGCTCCAATGAGCTGCTTACCCAAAAATGCCCAACAACAACTCCCAGTAAGTTTTCCTGGAAGATGTTGGGGCTCAGCACCTTTAAAAATCTGGGCATTTGGGGCTTTCAAACACACTTAAGAGACTGAAATGTAAATTCAAACACACCAAGCCTGATTCAGTCATTGATGGCATTTCCAGAGACCTTCTGCCTCACACCCTATAAAAATATCATAATTTACTTAGATTTTGAAGACTTTTACCAAGAACTAAGTATTTATAAGGAAACTAGTACTCTTACAAAACTTGTCCTGCACATGGTGCAGTACCCAGCAGAAGGCAGATTAAAAAGGAGAGGAGTAATTTTTTGGTAGTGTTTATTGAAAGATGCCTTTATACAGAAGGGACTGGTGCTCTGATGCTGTCACAAGTGAATCCAAATAAACCCTGCTCAAGTATCAACAAGCAATTCAACTCACCGAATTTAAATTACATTATTACACATCAATAATAAATTAAGACTATTGCCTAGTAGTTGCAGATAATTTAAACAAAATCCTTGTCAAAAGTAAAACAACAACAACCAAACAACAAAAAACACAAAATAAACAAAAGACCAATGAAACACATACAACAATGTTGCCAATAAATTAACAGATGAAGTAGCGCACACACATAATTGTTTTCAAAAAACTTACGGTGCTGCAGGTGAGCTGGAGCGCTGGTAGGAAGTAAGCCCAGGCCAAAGGGGCCAGTACCAAACCCTGAGCTCTGCCTATCATGCCTGGCTTCCCTTGGCCTCAAACTGCTTCAACTCGACTGGTGCTTATCTGGAAATTGCCTTTACCTCTTCAAATGTGCATTTTGCTCATTAATTCTTACTTTTGCTTAGCTCAAGTACAGAAGGGCCTGTCTAAGCCTACCTAGCATCAGAGGTATCACTGCCACTCAAAATCAGTCTGAAAACACTTCAGTTGAAGCAAGATCAACAAGTGCAGAAGCAAAACTAAAATAAATCCTTTTTCTACCAGAACAGTGCTATGCATTCAATGATTTACGTTGGTTCAACACACATATTAGACAAAAATAAGTAACTGAGCCAATTACAGCTGTGGATGTGGATGAGACCTAATAGACGTTGGTCCTGGACAGTTAACAGCCTTCCAGGCCCGAATTTCTCCAATGCTGCCCACAAGTGGCATTCTGAGTTGACTTAACAGCCACCTTAGTGTCCAGGAGGAAACTTGCATGTTAAGATATGACCCAAGCCAGTGTGCGCACACCAGAGTTTTCAAGTAAAGAAGGACTTTGCACACTATCTATCATCCAGGCTGTCTTCTCGCTACATTATTAAAGTGCAGAGAAAACAGTGCCACTGCCAAATGGGGATCCTGCTACTTGGGGTCAAAAGCGGCCTTAAAAAAACCCCATTAGTACAGTCACGTGCCCAAGATGAACACACACGTGATGAGGTTAGCTGTAGACTTTAACAAATAATGCTCATATTTAAGCAGGTTAACTCTCTCCCTAAAGTAATGCTGACAAAAACCCCAGAGGGTTAGCCTTCAGGAAAGAGGGCTGCATTAAAACTAAAGTTAGAGTAAATGCCCTCACTGCCACCCAGTCATGAACCCAGCTTTACCAAGTGGAACCCTCTCATCACATGGCACAGGCCAGCCAGTGGTTCTGGGAGGAGCAAAGCTGCACATTACCTGATCCTGCTTTAATGTTCAGTGCTTGCCATTATTATAAATCCACAGCACTGATGTTCCCACATTAGCACGACCTCATTTGTGAATGAAAAAAAACCCAGCTAGTCTCAAAAGTGAAGGTAATAAAAACAATGCCCCCTCCCCCCCGTTATCTTTTCTCACATTTCCCTCTCAAAGCACAGACAGTAAACAAATTTTATGCTAATCACTCCTAGCAAGATGGAAACTGCTATGAGCAAGGGTTTAGAGCTCTAACACCAAACATGCTCCATTATGGCAGAGCATTCCTGACAAAATTCTTCATTGTTGAAAATTTAAGGCACCAAATTAAGCAAAAGTGAGACGTTTCCATGCAGCTTGGTATCTTCAGAGCTGGTATATACAGCCTGCAAAGCTTACTTCATGAGGACAGAACAAGCAAACTGATTTATTCAGCTGCCCCAGCAAAAGAGCGTGTGCAGCCACAGGAGAGTTTCAGTTTAAACCTACAAGTTAATCAAACAGCAGATTCAATCAGGAAATCCAAAACAGGAAGATAGAAACTAATATACAGTACTGTAAGGCACTCCTACTGGGAAGGGAAAATTGGAAGGCAAATTATGAAGGAGAAAATGATGGAAGTTGACTAGCTCAAAAGCAAAGTCATCAGCTACGAAGCTGAAGCCTAGCCAGAGGCTCAGCACTGTGAGCCAAGGCAGGGAAGAGGCAGAAAGAAAGGAAGACGAGACTGGCTTGCAGCTGAGCAGCAGAAACAAGAGATAAGATTATGATGATTATTCAATTACTTTTCTTTTAGCGAGATCAACAGTCGGCTGCAGTACAGATCATGACCTTGGAAAGCCCAGGAAACTCAGTGGCTTTTGTTGCTATAGGGAAAAAGCAAAGTACAACTGTGCAGCTTCCCCATCACCAGACATCCTCTGTTGTTTGTTTTTTTTTTTTTAAGCCCTTCAGGACATTATCATAAATCCATTATAATGCACACAGTATCCTAGTATTATTTACTAAGAGGAGCCTTGATATGAGCAGCTCTAGAGGTACTCTGATGACTCACTTCTGACAGAGCATACTGTGCAGAATGCAAGATCCTCACCAAAAAGCATCTGCTCTTGTCAAAAACCCTCACAACTGCCATTTCCTATCAGTCCTACCAGCTGAGACACTGTGTCACACCATAAAACCATCATTTTTCACCAGCTAAAAGAGACAAAGATTTCTGCATAGGGGATCCAAAATTCTGCAGATTCATAATATCAAAAAAGCTGCAGTTTGCACCCTCTAGGTATGTGTTTATCTACATTAAAAAGCTAGAAGGTTGGGTTAAAGAGGAAAACAGGGAGAATTACGTAAGTTTACAGTATCCTGCATTAAATAATCTCAGACTAACTAAATTGAGATAATAATTTTCTAAGTAGTTGTAAAATCAGGCTACAGTCCCTTGCAGTGAAGTATTCTATCTCTACAGTGTTTTATAAGCTCTGTACAACCAAGTAAGAGCAGTAACTGGATCTACAGATCTATTTATCCTCCTCCTTAAGTAAAGGGAGCACCTTCTTTGTGAAGGAGACAAACAGCACATTTTATTTTTGATTCACAGTGAAATGCTACTGTTCAAATTTATTTCTTGCATGGGCAGGATGGGACTAGAAGCACGTACATACAAATTCCATCTCTGTGCACATGTGTGGGGGACAGAAATGCATAACTTGGAAAGGCCCTAGGTACTTTTCCAGCTGGTGCCCACCTAGAAGTCTGCAGAGCATGCACAAGGCTGCAGAATAGGAAAACTGTACATTGGTGACCAGTGTGCACCACTACATTACATTAGCAGAGACAGTCATGCAAGATACAGTTTTATACAAAATCCAAACCACCTACAGAAGCATGGACAGTGCCTCCAGCAAGCAGGAAAAACATCCTGTTAAGGTCTTTCAAGAGTTAGCAACATGCATGGTAGTTTCTGTTTATTCTTTCACCCTACAGCCCTAAAAATTGAAAAAGGCTCATTCCTACTTCACCAACAATTCCTGAAGGCAGGACTGGGTCTTTATGCTCTTGAAAGGCAGAAACAGAAGACTGCATCCTACTCATCCATATGGAATAACTTCTTTTGGATAGGAGCTAGGCATCCCTGAGAGAAAAGCATCCACTTTACAGTCTGCTCCTATAGCTACAGGAAGAAGCTCTATTACTTTTTCAAGGTAGAAGAATGTATCCATTTTAGAAACCATCCCATTTACAACTACACTGGATTAAAAATAGTAATTTCCAATGTATATTGTACATTATTCATTCACAAAAAGCTTTGGGTGCTGCCACCATATCAAAAAACATGCTTTTGCTCTGCTCCTTGTCCTTAGCAATGCAGAGGTTCCAGACTCACCACTAATTCCAATGAATTTTCTGACAACAAATGCTTTTTTGCCCTCTAAGTCTCAGATAACAAATTAAAACTGTTCTGCAATAGCTGTACAAATTGAGAGTAACTCCAAAGCTGTCCATTGTTATTCCAGAATTTTACTAGAATATCTAGCCACCCTCATCACTGACACTATAGACATCACAGCATCTATAAAAGTAATCAGTACTTTGCAATGCCTAAACTTCGATTCCTCGATGCTGTAGGGTATTCCACAGTGCACACAAGAACACTTTTCTAAATTGGAACATGAACTGGTGATATAAAGTATCTTAAGTTCTAAAGCATTATGACATGGAAAACATAACTTTCTTTTTTTTTCTTTAATGACCCATCATTATGTCTAGAGCTAAATCAAAATAGTACCTGCCAGATTCCGACAGTCTGAGCTACTGGCTTTGCCACAGGACCGGCTGTAGTGACACACACTGAAAAACGTGGGAGTGTACTGTTTATTCAGCCAGTACCACTGTAGTTCCTGTTTACATGACTAATTCCACAAGACTTGCTCAGTGTTTGCATATATGAACATGCAGGGAGTTCTTTACGTGGGAATGGACTTGGAAGGAACATTATATCCTTAAGGATGACAGCTGAAAGTAACTCATTTCACATGAAGAACACTGAGCTGCGTGAAACACAGATGTCCCTGTGTAAAGGAAGTATTAATTTTAGTGACAAAGGTGCATCATTCACCAAGTTTATTAAATATAGGAATCCCTATACTACTCTGCCAAGAGCATGGAAAAACCCTCACTTCCTTCCAAAGGGTCCCAATGGGAGAAAGACTTCTGGAAAAGAAAGGCACTGGTTGTCTAGTGTACACAGATATAAACATGCTTCTATATATATAGCAGTTGTGCTGAAACTTGAGAAAGTTCAGATTCAGCTACTTTCTTCACGGGAGGTTGGAAAAAGCAACCATTTACACTCCAATACAAGGCAGTTTGTTTGTAGCTTTCTAGCCTCTAATGTAAGCATGATGTACCCTGTTCTTTTATATAAAATACTTGCAATTAGTGAACTGCTTCAATGATCAATGCTGCTTTCTACCTTGAATACAACAGCCTGCATATCATATAGGAAGCAAAGATCAGTATTCTGCATTTTAACAAACCTATGTGAGAGAAGAAAAATGCACATGCATGTGACTAGCTTTTTTCTTCTGAAACCGTATTTGCTTTCTGTATATATATATATGTATATATATATATGAATGCATTAATATGTATGTAATACACATATTACTGCAGGCTCTGGAGAAAAAGTTAAGAATATGAACTGGAATGAGGAAGATCTCTAAGTTCTCACTAAAGGTAAAATCACACAAACTGAACACTATCAGCGATGATATGCATCACTGCAATAAAATCCATCACATACTTCTCTGTCATAATATATTTAATTTATCGTGTTTAGTACTTCCCTGTGTTCCACACGCATATGAGGCAAACCCATACCTTGGGGAAGTTTGGTCTCTACTAGAGAAATTTCTAGAGAAGTATAAAACCTCCTAAAGCTCCCAGAGAACTCAGGACATGCATTGGACACAAACACAGCAAACTAATGCTTCACAAATTTGGAAGTATGTTCTAGGTAACTTGGACAAGAATACTTTCCCAACTATTGGTCTAGTAACTTCAGGTCAGATGAACATGCAAAGTAAATTCCACTTCACAAAAACAAAACCAATGTGGACAGTTAAAAATTCTTCAAACACAAGACGAGCAAGAGGTTGGAATGTCATGTTACTGCAGATGAGGATGTGACCCCACACAGATCAAGAATAAGCAGTGTAAAGCAGAACGGACTTCAGCGACACAGCTTGACAGATATACTTAGCATGAACAAAAACCAGCAGCAAGTACCCTGCTTATCTGCTTATGTAATATTCCACTGGGGTGGTTATAAATATGTAAACACAGCTAAAGAAATTATTCTGCATCTTATGCTAGCAAATATCCTGAATAAGATTTGATGGGAGATACTTTTCTTTCCTCTGCGAGGAGTGACATGTAAATGCACTGATCTTTTAAAAATAGCTCTCTGGAAACACAAGGAAATGGAACCATGTGTCCATATCAAAAGGAACAGGTGGACTTAAAATAATTCCTGCCCTATTCTGTGACACACTTCACCAGAACCTCTGCCAAGGCTAATAATAAATAATACACATAAATAAGTAGATGATTGGTCAATTCTAAATGAACAACATCAAAAACAATGCATTAATGGCAGCAAATACTTTCTGCCTTGAGGAAAGGTCTTCTCCAGAGGTGGAAAAGAAAAAGATAAGTGCTTAATTAGCTAGACATAAAGCATTTCAAGTAAACCATGTTTTGCATGAGAGCTAGTGGCTGAACTTCAATGCAAAATGCAGTTTAGCCACTGATAATCCAAAGCCGACAAGGCTTTATGGTGACTTTGGCAGCTGCTATTCATAGCTGAAGAAGATCAAATATTATTTTGCAAAAAAGATTTCTGCCTAGCTAAGCTGAGAGGTTGCTTGAGCTGGCAGATGGGGAAGAGGTTCTCTTCAGGCTCGCCACTGCCTTGAGGAACTCATGTGTTCTGATATGACAACTCAAACATGTTGCAAGACTCTTCAAAGTTTTCATCCATATTCAGTCGCCTCCAGAAGGATTTCTGCTTCTTCTGCAATTCTTTACGCACACACCTGGGGCATGGTACAGCCTTCACTTTGCATTCAGAGTGGAAGACAGCACCACAGCTTTCACACCTGCAAACACAAATTAGTGTCAAAATTGAACGACAAAATAAGACCAGAGCATGCAGTGGACCTCACGTGGACCATGGACAGTAGGCATTCCTTCAAACAGTTCTGGTAGCTCAAAAGTGCACGCTACATTTCAAAAGTGTGCAGTATCAAAGGGCAGTGTCTTGCTCACATCTCTGTTGCTGTAAAGCTACTCAGGAGTACTTGCATCCATATGTACTTGCTGAGAATCTGTCCCAGTGTTTCTCCTTCACCTTACAAGAATTAATATTTACCTCTTCTTATTAATTAGCATCCAGGCTATCATGGGATATATATAATTTCTGGTTTATGAATGAAAAGTTTGCTAGTTTGGTCTGTAAATGAAGAATAACATTATTAATTTCCAATAAGATACATTTCAGAATTTGGAACTGTCAAGATGTTTTGTCAAAGAAGTTCCAGGGGTCAACTGTTCTCAAAGGAGTAAAATAGTCAGGTCCACTTCAACAGAAGAAATCATTCCAAACAGTAAAAATAAAACAGTGAACGGCAGGAAGTATTTTCTGCTGTGTCTCACAGAAGAACCAGACTAGATGGTAATGGATGTAATGTCATAGTAGCTCAAGCCTCCAATTCTACATAGCTGTGGAGCAATGAAATGTCTGGTAACCATAGAGCGAGCTAGAGCTGAGCAGATGGACATTTTCTCAGCTTTTCAATGCAAATAACTGTATAATGACAGTAAGTCACTGTATTGCTGCAGTTCCACAACCAAATGAAAATAAGTAAATAAATAAATGGATGACAGCATCAGAAGTACAAAGTCTTATATTACTGTTGTGTAATCAAACAAAGAAAGCAACAGAACATCAAATTTTAGAGCAGTTCTTGTATGTAAATGAGAAGTGCTGGTTAAGCTGGTGATTTCTGTGGGGAGTCTTGCAATGCCTCATTCTCCTCATCCACAGCTACCATAGTCTATATGAGAATCTTGGCATCCATTTTTATACTCTTACTGGTTGTTTTTTTGTTGTTGTTTTGTTTGTTTTGCTTGTTAAGGAAATTTTCTTTCTTATTGTTTGAAATAAAGTTAAAGTTATCAAGATTCTGAAGAAAATAAGAAAATATAAAGCAACAAGCCTCAAATGCTGAGAAGCCATAAGGCAAATAAAAGCCACTTTTAAAACAAATAGCAGTATTTGGCATGCAGTCTGGAAAGAGTTACGGAGAACTCTGTAAGTTAACACAACCTGTTTTGTTAACTATGATAGCCACATCTGCATTTCACTTATAACTTTTAAAAAGTGGCTCTTGAGCTGACTTTAGGATTTACTTCTGTGTCCAAAGACAGTCTAAATTTATAACAGATGAGCTTTGAGATGGCAATACAGAGGTCTGAAGAGGCAGACTTCTAGATAGCACAACTTGACAGAATTCAACTAGCAAGGTTAAAGAACTTAAGTACAATGCTAACTACTATGCTGTTGTGCTAGAACTCGATGTACTCTTATTAATGCAACCAGCTCGTGAGTCTGAAACTGTTTTTGAAGCAAGAAACTGGCTCACAGAGATATTTCTCTTTCTGAGCACACAAATGATGAAGTATGTTATGGCTCTGATCCAGTGAAGCACATAAACATGTGCTTGTGACTAGCATCACAGTGATCTCCTTGCGACTACTGATTCGAGTAAAATTAAGCGTGCACTTACGTGCTGTGCTGAACTGGGATCTCTACCAACAGACACTCTAATGGATGAAGGAAAGACAGAGAGGACAGACGTGTCTTTAAAACTTTACATCATTCTGACCTGACACTAATGGTGATTTTATCAAGCTAATTTTCTCTTGTTAGTCAGCAATTTGCTGCACTCTGGAAGTTGCTAGAGAATAATGATTGATGAGCAGTGTAATTTTGTGCTTTTGCACTGCCACTCCCTATGCTCATTCAGTATTTCTCCACAGCACTTGATGAGGTGACAAAAGTTATCAAAATTTGCTGCTAGAATGGTTGCCAGAAGGATTAAAAGAGTCAGCACACCTGCTCCTCCCAATGAAAGGCCATCAACAGAGAAAACAATGATTTATGGTGTTTAAATTAATATTAATTCATGTTTCAGAAGTTACCAGTGGAAAAAAGTAACAAACTTCTTTCACCCCGCTCAAAATGAAAAGAGAAAAAAAGACTGCACTTTTATTAGGGGTGGAACAACAGCCAAAGCTCTGAGTGGGTGGGACCCCACACTGTGAGGCATTCAGCAGAGGCAGTGCAAAAAGCCAGCCCTGCAACTCACGGTCCGCACCACTGCTTCACTGTGGAAGAGCCCTGGAAAAGCCTGAAGAACAGAGCTCTGAGGTGAAATGCAAACTACCTCTTGCTCTCCAGAGGGACAAGGAGAGAGAATGTCTGAGTGCATTCTCACTGTATACTTCTATCTCCTTACTGCTGAAGAAATGCAGTCACATGATGCTAATGTTGAACCTGCATTTGCATGGATAGCAGATTACTCTTTGCCCAAGCCATTTGTGCCTTTGCTTTTCATTGCACCAAATCCAGTCAGTTTCAACTGATCCTGGTAATTTCAAATGATTGACCATTCCCAATCTCACTGGGAGAAAAATTTCAGTGATAACAAAAAAACCTCCAAATTATACTCCATTTTAGAATATTGCAAGCAGATTTCTTCTTTAATCCTGAAGTCTAATTTTACCTCCTCTGTAGCACCAAAAATGGAAGGACCATTAGTGCTAAGAACAGACTGTTGTTCCTGCTTCATCATGTATTCTGAAGTCTTTTCCTTGTCATGAAGAATATATTTGCGTACCTAACTGCACAAGCTTCTTTCTCCAGGTGTTATGAAACAGAGGCAATAAGTCCTAGAAAAGCAGCGAGAGTGTCTCTCTCTCAAATGATTTGATGTAACACGCAGGACTTGGAGGTTCAGATGGTTGCACACTGGCAGAGTATGTCTCCAAGTGCAGGAACCTGCACTCCATAAGGCTTAAGAGGCACTAAAGTGCACATTAGTGCTGAGCTGCACTTAGCTGTTGATCCCATATTCTGTTCTGCATCACTATCTTTGGAGTTGCAGAGCTTGCACTTAAAGGCACTGGTAAGCTCTGTCTCTGCGATTAGACTGACATTTTTCCCTTTGTGTACAGCTCCAAGTAAAGCTCCTTTTTGATGACACTGGTGCTTTTACACATGCGAAAACTCAAATACCAAGTGCAACAACTTAATTGCTCCATCAATTGCCTTTCTGCTGAAATGCCACCAGGAAGCTATGGGTACAATGATGGGGAAAGCAAAGAAAAGAATCCAGGAGCTGGATTAGCAGCAGCTGTACTTTGTGAAGGGAACAGCAGCACCTGTGTTAGGAAAAAAGGGTGTTCCACATGCACTTCTAAATTGATACTCGCTTTTGAAAACCGATCTCACAGAGCTATTTCTAAGCCTTTCCTCATATTCTTTTGTAGAGTTTTTGACAGAAAAAAACAGCATGGGTGGAGTTCACAAACAAACAAACAAAAAAGACAAGAATTTCCTTTGCTACTTTTTCAGAAGGTAGAGAACAAAATAAAATCTACAAAAAGCAGCTTTTTTTTCAGGCTGGCAAACTGAATATCTGCACAAAAGTAAACACATAGATGGCTTTATGTGGCTAATACTTCCCTGATGAAGGATGAAGAAAAATGTCAGTCTTCCTGCTGTAACCGCCAGCCAGTTGTTACTTACTAGACCACTACCAAAAACTGTTCTCTGACTCTCTAAAACCACTCTACTAACTAACTCTTCACATGTGAGTTTCACAGTTTTTCTTCGCTGTTGTTTTCAAGCCTCAATACGCCCAAATGCTTTTATTTTCCTGGAAAAAAAATACATTTTGTGGTCTACAAAAGGCTCATGTAATAGTTACCACATATAGTCATTTTTTCCTTAAACCTCATTGTTTTCATAGGTAATTTATGGTTCAGGTACTCAACTTTTGTATCTCGAAGTCTCTGCATCTTTTGTGAAATTTCTATGTACCACAGTTAATAATATGATGAGTCCACAGCCACTCAGGCTTTTTTTTTTCCTTATGTAATAAATGATACTGCACATTAATAGTATCTTGCTATTTCTCAAACATTATCTGAAGAATCGGTGAACACTAAATGTTACTCCCATACTGACTTTCAGCCTCCTCAGACAGCATCTGAAATAGTTTCCTCTCTATTTTGACGTTTTCTCTCTTTTTTTTTTTACTTGACCAATTCTATCAAGATGACAAAGGGTGTTTCATGTTTTAATGATATTTTACTTGTTTGAAAACTGAAGTAATGTAAGTGCAAAGAACTATCATTTCTCTAAATAATTTATATTGCATTGAAAAGTGTGTTAAGAGAAAGGCCTCAGCTCTCCATAGCCAGACAAGCTAGACAGGCATTATAATGCTCTTCTTATTATCACTAGTTACAAAAGAAAAGCCTTTCTATATTAAAAGCACAAAGCCACTCCTTATGTGCTGAAGAAATGCCCACATTATTATCTAAGCCTGGACATTTGAAATATATGGATATCAATTTTTGGTAAACTGTAAGTTCTGGTAAATCTCTCACATTGCACAGGCTTATGGGTCAAGTAAATCTAGATTCTGCTCTACCAATTGATCATACTTATATTTCTCCCCACATTGTGCCATTATTCAGGTCCTCACAGGTACGATCAGAGGGGGCATGCCCAAAAGAGGGGGTGCAACACAAAAGAGGACTGCCTCAAAGAGCTTCCAACTTAAACAGCAAAATAAACTGGGGATGGTCAATTCATGACCCACAGTATAATGTGAAAGACAGTTTTGTCTTCTAGGAATCTTACAGGTTGGGAGGACTGTTGGGAGCAACGGTGACTGTTGGGATGAAATTGCTGGGACCAGCAAAGTTCATTAGGATTGCTTTAGTACCATAGCACATGGACTGCACCAGTCTGGCTTCCAAATACCAAGCTGGGAATCAAAGCAGATCATGGCAATGCTGTTCAGCC